TGCGACAGACTCCAGGTTTTTGCCCTATACAGTTTCTAAGTCTCTGGTCTTTGTAGGCTGACAGGAGGGCTCTGCATACCTGGTGGGGATTAGGGGGTGGGGGTGGGAGGCCTCTCTGGCCTGCCTCAGACAAGTGGCCCCTTGCTTGTCACAGGCCTTGTCCTCTGTCCTCCTCCTCTTGGCCCCAGGGGCAAACAACAGCAGTGCAGCTGGACCTACCTCTAGTACCCGCTTGTTTGTTTAAATTCTCTGGAAGAGACAAGTTGTCCCAGAGGGCGGGGAAACCCATGTGGGGGCTTATGCCCTGAGAGAACCACATTGTCCCTGTGGGCTTTAGCCCAGAGGAAACCCTAATCCCCTCCCTGCCTAGCTTCAAAGTCTCTATATCCCAGAAGAGCCCTGGAGGAACTATGCGCGCCCTTAGAATTTCTAACCCTGTTCCACTCAGCTGGTAAAGCCCTGCTCTTCCATCAAGATTCAAGTGTCACCTCCTCCAGGAAGCCTTCTACTTCCAGCAACCCTGTGGTCCCCTGCACCTCCCCCAACCCAGAGTTTTTGTTTTCAGTTTACTCTTTGCTTTCCCTCCAGACAGGAAGCCCCTTCCATATTATTGTAGCCCAAGGACCCACCCCAAACAGGGCCCCTGGGCTGAGTTTAATACTTGCTTGTGAGAGTCTCTTGCCGCTGCCTCCTATAGAAAGCCCTTCCTGATCCTTCTTCCAGCCAGTTTGGCCTCCATCTGCCTTCATAACACCGCCTCGCAGGGCCTTTTCCCCATCTTGCCGTCTGGGAAGTTGTGTGCACAATTGTCTGCCTGCAGCAGCTCTGCAAGGTAGGTGTTTTCATTTCTCTTTTACAGACCAGGGGAACTGCAGGTCAGAGAAGTTTGGTAACTGGTTTGGTCACACAGTTAAAGAGGTGCAGGGCCCAGAGTGCCATGTCTACTGGGCTCCAAAGCCCCTGAACTTTCCACTGCCCTACTTAGGTGTCCTGTATCTCCTATAATAGCAGCACAGTGCCTAGAAGGCCTGGGAAAATATTCACATATTGGAAGAAACCTTTGTTCCCAGGAGGACCCAGGCAGGGAGGGAGAAGACAGTTTTAGGACCTAAGTTGCTACCTTGTGCCACCACCTTCTTCCCAGCAGAGGGACTCCCTCCAAGACTAGGCAGGGGTGTAAACAAAGGCAGTGATGGTCTGGAAGAAAGTTAGACATTGAGGGGTAGCGAAGACCAGGGCAACCTGCAAAGTGGACAGGCCTGGGGTAATCAAGGCAGACAGTCTGGTGTTAGGGGATTTAATTCAGGTCCAGGAAAAAAGAGGCAGAGACTTAGCTGATGGGGCCTGGGTATCAGTGTGCTCCCCCAGACAGGGACCCTGCCCCTTCTGCTCCCTCTCCTGCTTGCTCCCCTTCCTCCCTTCCCTCCCTTTTCCCAGACTGACTCCATGGGGTGGGGGAGTTAACCTCTTGGGGTTCCTTTGCTTAAATCGGCATGACTGCCTAGCATACCTTTAAGTCAGACCTCCACATCCACAAGGAGTTGTGATACTGGCACTAGCAGAGGTCCTCTTCCTTGTTTTTGCTTTGTCTTTCCATTGCAAAGAACTCGAAATAAAGAAGAGCCAGTGGGAGGAAGGGGGATTGATCCACAGTCAGACAGAGAGTTGAGGGGACTAATCTAGTTCTCTTTCCTTCAATTCAGCAGGGTTGTCTTCCTGCCTTCCTACAGATCAGCTCTGGGTCTGCGAGGCCGCTGGGGGTTGGGGAGTGGAGTGAGGGAGAAGACTTTTCTTCTATCACAGCCAAACTCCTTGGAGAAATAGCTAAACAAGCAAGACTCAGGGACTCTCTCCTCACTCTCCCACCTTCGGAGGGGCTCTGTCCCTCATCCGTGGCTTGGAGTGAGCTGCCCACACACACACAAGTGAGAGTGTCCCTCAACATTAGAGTGACAGGACAGTCAGGTAAAGAGACTCCTATGCCCTGGCCCCAATCACTGCTTCCTTTGTCTGGGGCCACTGTTGGCTCCTGGCCACCTTCCACACTCTCTCTTCTCCATGCACCTGCCCCCCCTCTTGCTCCTCTCCCCTCTTCCCCCTCACCTAGAACACTTTCCCTTTCCTCCTTGGCTCCTTCTGAACTATTTCAGAGCCACAGGCTGTGGCCTCCCCAGCCCTGAGTTGTGGAGCCCTCTGAGTAGGGCTGAGGTTGTCCCTCAAGAGACCCAGCATGGCCACTGTCTAGGATGCTCTCTGTTCTGTGCCTGCTTCCCCAAGTCCCCCATGTGTCTGTGTGATCTTAGGTACCTCTGTGTCCTTGGGATTCTCTGGGGGACAGTTTGTTCTGATACTCCCTGCCCTTTGGAGGGAGGGTAAGTGGAATCAAGTTTGTTCCTGGCGATTAAGCCCCAGGGAAGAGAGGATAAGAGGAGATGCGATGTGGGCCTGCGATCCTGTGTTCTTGATCGGTTTCTTGTTTCCTTTTCAGGTGTGCTGGGCTCTCAGCTCCATGGTAATGTGGGCGTTGGCTTGGTCCACAATAGCGTACTGTTGTGATAACTGGTGAAACCACATGGGGCGACAGAATCTGGAGTCAGTCACTCTTCCAAGTCATGGCCAGGTTGCATCTCTGAAATAAGGGTGGAGGTGGGAGACCCATCCCTTAATAAAGTTTGCTCAAAACCCCCTTAGGCTAGGCTGCAATTCTGTTCTCATTCTCCTGGTTCCCGGGCACAGCCCACAGAGGAGATCCTCACATAGCTCGTGGTAACATATAGACTAAATACCCCGGGGTGGGGAGGGGGAGCGGGGCAGGGGTGGACTCTTGGCTCAGGTCAGAGAGAGTCCTGGGGGGATTAAGTGATAATCAGTGACCACCTCTCCTTGCAACTCCTTTCTCCTTCCACCTCCAGGTGCTTCACACTCTTCTAGGGGCTGAGGAAGGCTGACATGAAGGGGCCAGCATGAACCCTCAGTGGTGGTGCTGGGAGCCTCTGTCTTATGCTCTGCCTGCCCCTAATAGGGATGAGGGAGGGAATCCTTGTCTAGGCACCCAGATTGCGTGCTCAGCGGGTGCTAGAGATAAGCCAGTTGGGATGAGTAATTAGATCTAGATGTATAATGAGACTGATTGGTTCCTCTCTTCCCACAGGTATCAGGACTGTTTTCCAGATGCAAGGGTTGGGGTGGAGGGTTTGGGGAACACTAGGCGAGCACAAGGAGGAAGTTTTTCATACCCCACAAAGCAGCCTGGATGGAGCTTGTAGCCTAGGTGAGGAGGCCTGTCTGGGAGGGGGCCCTGGGTCAGCAAATAAACATTTACTAACTGTAAAAAGACCTTGTCCCTGCTGCTGGGGAGCCTGCCAGGTGGTGGAGATAGGACTGGAGGCTTGAATGATGGGGAGGGTAGGTAGGCTAGAGTGGAGAGAGCCAGCTCCTCTGCCTTTTGGTTCCTAGAGTCACCACTCCTATGGAATCCGGGTTCTAAAGGGGTAACCTAGAACACCACCAAACTACAGCACCATGCATGGAGGCAGTGAGTTGGCTGAATATCCTTCTTGGATTTTTTTTATGGTCAAGTTGGGAGAAGTTGCCTGGCTCCCATTCTCAGGGTAGGCCTTCACCAAGGCTGCGTTTAGCTCCAGGCCAGGTCCTGCCCAGATCTGTAGAAATAAGGACACCCCTTGGTCCCTCTATTCCCATAGGTAGCAGGGCCCCCACTTTGTTCCCTGGGGGATATTGGGAGCCACGGGTCAAAGCCCAACCAGGAATTTTTCCAGGCTTGTTCCTATAAGGGTAGAGTGGAGTACCTTGGGGAACACATAGGATAGACATGGGGAATTGGGGGATAAAGGGGTTTTAAAGAAAGGGAGCAGACTTGAGGGGGAGGAGATGAGAGCAGCTGTCTAGGAGAATAGGAGAAAGGCAAGGGGTCTGGGGACCTGGGGGGTTGCTGAGGTGGTTCAAATTATGTTCAAAAGATGAGCTGTGAGCCTAGGCTGGGGCTGATAGAAGCCTTGGCCCCCAGCCTGGTGGGAGCACTGGGCAGCTGGCCTGCAGACGCTGTGCTGGTGAGTATGTTTGAATCATCACTCAGGCCCTCCATCCGCCCCCACCAGGCCCTCTGGCCTCAGTTCCCTGGCAACATCTGGGAGGGGGGGAGAGCAGGAAAAAGGGCTTCTGTCTCCCAGCTGCCTCTCCCTTTGGGCTTTGCCAGACTCTGCAGTGCATACGTGGGCTTCAACAGGTCCACTTCCCTGGTGGCCACTGTCTAACCCCAGAACCACACAGCTTCTCATTCTCAGCTCCAAAAGCTTGGTGCCAAATACCTCTCCTTCGGGAAGCCTCCTGAGGCACTTCCAAAAGGACCCCAGTGACCCCAGTCTGTTGGTAGTGGCTGATTCTGATGCCAGCAGGTCAGATGAGGGTTACACATAGGCACATTGTCTGAATAGCTACTTCGCGCCCCCTGCACCCACCACTAGGATCTGTCTATGGAGCCACCCCAGTCTCAAGCATGTCACTGTTTTTGAGAGGTCAGAAATGGGGGGCTCAGGGGTCCTGTCTCTCCACCCTCTCCCGGCTGAGCCAGTCCGATGGTAGTCACTAGGGGGCGCTCAGCCACCACAGGGAGACGATGAACTTGGGAGGGCAGCGTCTGCGTGAGTGAGGGAGCGTGCTTGTGCGAGTGTGTGTGTGTGTGTGTGTGTGTGTGTGTGTGTGCGCGCGCGTGTGTGTGAGACTGGGGGGGGCGGCTGACTGCTGGAGGGATAAAAATCCAGGGGTCACCCCAGGATTCCAATAGATCTGTGTGTGCCTCTCCCACCCCGTCTGTCCGACCTCCCGCGCCCCTCGGGCCCCGCCGCCCCCTCCAGGGTCCCCCGCGAAGACCCGACAGCGCGGCCAGAGGGTCTCCGGGGCGGAGTCTCGCGCGCCGGGGGCGTGCCAGGGGCGTGGCCAGGGCGGGGCGCCGGGAATGGTTTTGTGGCAGCTCGCACCGCGCAGAGGCTGGGGCAGCTGGGCTGCGACGAGGCCTCGGCGCCGGGGGCGAGTGGAGCTGGCGGCAGCGGCGCTCGATCGGGAGTCGCAGCGGCAAGGCGGACGGGCCGGCGGGGTCACCAGCCGGGGGACTCCGCACTGGAATTCGCTATTCGTTTATCCGGGGCTTACCCTCCTCCTTCTTTCCTTAAACATTTAAAAGACCGTATTCTTTCCCGTTTTAATTTATTTTTGCTTCCCATTCCCTGCTCGAACCGGGCTGGCCGTTTGGGGAGACGGTGCCCGTCCTCTCCCAAATCACTTCGGATTTTGGAAAGCAGCAGAGAAGAAAGAGGCAGCAAGAGCTGCAGCGAGAAGTCGAGGAAGAGAGCGAGCCGGGGTCAGAGCGCGCGCGCGGGCGGGCGAGCGACGAGAGGACAGGGGCAAAGTGAGTGACCTGCTTTTGGGGGTGACCGCCAGAGCGCAGCGTGAGCCCTCCCCCGCGGGATCCCGCGACGGACCAGCAGCGCTGACGGACAGACAGACAGACACCGCCCCCCGCCCCAGCGCCCACCTCCTCCCCGGCGGGCGGCCGACGGTGGACGCGGCGGCGAGCCGCGCGCAGGAGCCGCCGCCGGAGCCCGCGCCCGGAGGCGGGGTGGAGGGGGTCGGGGCTCGCGGCGTTGCACTGAAACTTTTCGTCCAACTTCTGGGCTGTTCGCGATCCGGAGGAGCCGTGGTCCGCGCAGGGGCAGCCGAGCCGAGCGGAACCGGGAGAAGTGCTAGCTCGGGCCGCGCGGAGCCGCAGTCGGAGGAGGGGGAGGAGGAAGAGGAGAAGGAAGAGGAGAGGGGCCCGCGGTGGCTGCTCGGCGCGCAGGAGCCGGGCTCATGGACGGGTGAGGCGGCTGTGTGCGCAGACAGTGCCCCAGCCGCGCGCGCGCCCCAGGCCCCGGCCCGGGCCTCAGCCCCGCGAGGAAGAGGAGCCCGCCTGGGCGCGCAGGAGAGCGGGCCGCCCCGCAGCCCGAGCCCGAGAGGGAGCGCGAGCCGCGCCGGCCCCGGCCGGGCCTCCGAAACCATGAACTTTCTGCTCTCTTGGGTGCACTGGAGCCTTGCCTTGCTGCTCTACCTCCACCATGCCAAGGTAAGCGGCCGTGCCCGCCTGGCGCCGCGGGCCGCTGCGAGCGCCTCTCCCCGCTGGGGACGTGCGTGCGAGCGCGCGCGTGGGGCTCGGCACCCCACGCGGGTCCTCGGGCGCAGGGCGCGCGTTTCCCCCTCTGTTCTCGTGCGTGTGGGGAGAGGGGGCGCGCGCTGGGTGGGAGGGCACCGGGAGAGAGTCTCACCGCCCACGCGGGCCCTGCCCACCCACTGGAGGCACCGCACGTACGAGCTGGGCCGACCAGCCGAGGGCGGGAGCCGGAGGAGGAGGCCGAGGGGGCTGGGCTTGCGCTGCCGCCGGCGGCTAAAGTTTGCTCTCGGCCGCTGGTCCCTGACGAACTGGAAGCCCGGGCAGCGGGGGCGGGAGCCCGAGCAGGGGGGTACTCGGACCTTGGACCGTGGGAGGGCCGAGAGCGTGGAGGGGGCAGGGCGCGGGCGAGAGAGGGGCTTGCTGTCACCGCCGCTCCACCTCGTCGACCCTCGCCGCGAGTTTGGGAAAACTTTTGGGGTGGACCGCTGCAGGGACCCCCTCTCCGCCCGGCCACCTGCGCCGCGCCACCCCCGCCCGTGCCCGCTCGCGTCCCGCTCGGTGCCCGCCCTCCCCCGCCCGGCCGTGCGCGCGCGAAGCCGATTACATCAGCCCGGGCCTGGCCGGCCGCGTGTTCCCGGAGCCGCGGCGGCCGGACCCCGAGCCCCGCGCGGCGAGCGGCGCCCCTCCCCCCCGCGGCGTGCCGCGGGAAGGTGACCTCTCGGGGTGGCCTCCGCCGGAGGGCCCGGAGAGCCACCCTCACCCGTCCCGCGTCGCAGCCTCTGATCCCCCCTTGCTCGGAGGCATTTCCTGACGCCCCTGTCCCTTGCCCCGTTTGCTCCCCGGTGTGGAGAGAAGCCCCTGCCACCCTTTATTTTTTATTCCCCTCTGTTGAGAAGACCCCCTTAACCCCATACTGCCCCAGAGGCCAGGGAAAGGGTGGTCACACTCAGAGGTCGGGGTGCCGGGGCCCATCCGGGTGCTTTGTGGAGACTCTACCTAAAGTCCCGACTTGGTGACAGGCGCTTTCCTCCCCTCCCCCACACTTCCGAGGAAGCTGAGCTTTAGTTTTATCCCGGGGGGGGGACGTAGGGAGGGTTTAAGGAGTGTCATTACCCCACTTTGCACTTTTTGGGAAAATGGCTTCAGATATGCTGTGACATGGGCAGTGTGGGACCAGCCCTCCCCGAGCCTTTGGAAAGAGCTCCTGCCAACCTTGCAAACACACTTTGTCCTGGTGAAATGGGGCGTTTGAGCGGAGCAGGTGGTTTTTTGGAACTCCTGACTTGCCCACCCAGCTTGCTCTGCAAAGCCACCTTAGGGATCCGTCTGCACTCCTTCGCGCTTCCCTCAGCCGGAGTCCCCCTGGAGAGAGGCAGCGGGAAGGAATGGGGACTGGGGTCCTTGCTGCTACCGGGAGAACCTCAGACCCTGGCACAAAGGCCTTGGCTCCAGGCCTCCAAAGGGGGGGAGGGGGAGGAGTGGCTGCCTTGCCACTGTGTGACCTTCAGAGGCCCCCAGAGAAGGGCACCTGGCCCCTCCCTGCCCATAACTGCCCCTCCCAGTACCCCCTGGCCTTGGAGGGGGGGTTCGAAGTTTCTGTTGCCTTTCTTCATGGGGACTCAGGAGAAGTGGAGGACATAGGGAGACAGTTGGCATAAGGAAGCCAGGAGGGGTGTCCTGGGGATGGGTGAGGGGCTGAGGTGGAGACTTGGGTGGGGGGGGGGGAGTGTTACCTGTGGGAACCCCTGCAGTGAGACAGTCCTGCTGGGAGCTGGAAACTGTTATCTGACCTTGGTGCTGGGGGCAAGGCTGGGGGATCAAGGTGTGGGAAGGAGAGAGATGGACAGACTGGGACTCCCTCTCAGTAGGGTGTGCGTGTGCGCGCTGGAGTGCAACACTGCTGCTCAGGGGCCGCCCCAAGGAGGGCCCAGTGGGTTGGGAGTTGGTGAGAACTGGAGGGCCTCTGGAATTGCTGGGAGAAGCCTTTGCCTGCCCCGCGCTGTCAGGTCCACATGGTTGGGCTTGTTGACCTTCACAGCTTCTGGGGAAGGGAGGCAAGTACTAGTGGGGGTGGGGAGAGATGGGGAAGGCCTCAGGCTGGGTAGTGCAGGGAGCCCCCTAGGGGCTGGGCAGAGCTAAGCCTTGAAAGGCTTCCCTGGTGAGCTTGGGGACCCTCTTGCTCTGGGAGGGAGAAGACAGCAGCGGGGTAATGTGTGAGGCTGGAAGCTTTGGAAATACATTCAGGCTCTGGGGAGATCTGGGCAGGGGGAGAAATGGGGCCTTCCCCCCTCCCCCCACTGTCCTTCTAGTTTTTTACCCACTAGGCAACCTGTGGGTTTGCTGAATATTCCTGTGGAAGAGTTCGAGTGGGGGAGGGTGGTTGGTGCCCTTCGGTCCTCTGCGCCCCCCCCCCCCAGCACCAGCTCACCCTGGTATTTGTCATGTCAGCAGGAGAAGGTCACCATGTTTTTTTTCTCACCCCCAGTCCTTCCTTCCTGCCCCAGTCCAAATTTGTCCTCCTATTTGACCTTAATACTTACCGATGGCTTGGACCAGGGAATGGGGGGCCGAAAGGATTCACTTTTCTTTGCTCAGCAGTGGGAACCAGGAAAGGGAAATGTGGGGGGACAGGGCAGGGACCTGGACAGTACAGCAATCTGGTGTTTTCCTCTTGGAGTTTTGAGACCCTTACACTGATATCTGGTTAGTCTTTTCTTCCTTGGCTTCAGAATTGGAGCACTCCAGGGGGTCATGGGCTTGCTCTGTGCTGTGGGGAGTCCCCCCAGCACCCCCCCCTCCCGCCCCCCTGCTCCTGGTTCCAAGGGAAGCCTTGGAGCAGCCAGAGGCTGCTGGCTGGGAGGGTCCAAGAAGGGAGGAGGGGCGGGGTGGCTGGGCCTTGGCGTCCCTGCCCAAGCCCATGCCTTGCTCTTTGTTTTATCCTCAGTGGTCCCAGGCTGCACCTATGACAGAAGAAGGAGAGCATAAATCCCATGAAGGTGAGTTCTCCTGGCTCTTGGATGGGGTCCCCTGAGCCCCCAGGGGATGGGTGGGGGGACCCTATTGATTCTTTCCAAGTCAAGGGGGGGATGGGTACAGGACTATGGGGATCATGAAAGGGGAGAGGTGAGCACCATGAAATTAACCTTCTATTCCTTAGGTGCTGCTGTTAGATGTATGACTTTTGGCCTTTTTTGCTGCTGTTTCTAGTAAAATTTTATTTAGACAGGGAATTGTGAGTGTAAACCGTGCAGTGTCTGAGGATCCCAGATGCTGGGGGAGGTGTCCCTTGTCCCCACTACTCCCAGGGGAGGATAGATATCTCATGTCACTTCCAACTCAGCCATGTCCCACTTGTAGTGGGGTCTGTGATCCTTGCTATCCAGAGAGCTGACTGTGCATGAGCTGGGGGTACAGAGGGCCCAGCCTTGTGGGACCCCCCCTCTCTGTTTGCATTCCTTCTGAAGTGGAGAGAGAGCCCTACAGCCTCCCCTGCGCCTGGAGGGTTGGGTGCCATGAACTTCCCTCCTGGGCCAGCAGAGGGCTGGCTGTAGCTCCCAGGCGCCCCGCCCCGCTGCCCTGCCTTTTGTTCCGCTGTGGTTTGGAGTAAGGGATCCTCCCATTTCTCTAGGGACGCCCTGGCTCTCCTCACCTCTGAATGTGGCTTATGCTCCAGTCTGGGGGAGGAGTGGCTTGTTGCCACTCCCCCCAGCTTTCCCTGTCTGAGGAAGGAAGACCCTGGGGTCTTCCTCCAGGAGAGTTTCCCTGACCCAAATCGAATGTGGCCCAGCGTATTGGCCAGTGGGGTGGTGATGTCCCGCCGGTTCTGCCTCCTTCCCCACCAGGAGCCTTTTCCAGGACCTGGCTTCCCAGCCACTGACAGTGCCCCTTCTCCCCCACCCCCCAGTACACCCACCCCCTCAGCTTCCCAGTGGTCTCTGTGGTCCTGGATAGGCCAGACAAATGGTCTTTGTTTGCTGGAGAAAAGATTGTCTTGGAGAAATAAGGAAAACCACGAGAGCCTGACGTTGCTGGGGTGTACCGTGTTCATGCCCTGTGCAAAAGCAGGGTCTCCTTGGAAGCAGTGCCAAGCATGGGAAGGGTGCAAGTGAAGTTGCCCCTTCCACCTCCCAGCCCTTGGGAGCCTGGCTCCCAGGGAGCCAGCTGGATCTCTTTACCCTGAGTGACCAATGACCATGACCCTAGGCCAGCTCTTTCTACTCTCCTTGTCTGGGTCCTTCCAAGCCTGGGCCATCTCTTTCTCCAACCACAACAAACTAGCAGGTCAAGGATTCTTGCTTGTCATCTTCAATATAGACTTGACTTAGAAAGGGACTTCTTCGGGTCCCTGGTCTCAAGTTTGAAGATGCTTTAACTTACTTTACCCCTTTTGGGGAAAGGAGAATTTTGTGCCATGGTCTGGTTAGGGCACCCGGAGACTACAAGAAAGGCCAGGGACTGGTTTGGGGATCCCACTGTTTTCCTTTCTGTTTTCTCCCTGTGACCTTCCCCCTTAGTTCCCTCAATTCTCCTTAACCCCTCTACTGTATACACCCCTCTGGGTCTCATCTGCCTTTGGTGTCTTAGAGGGAAAAGGAGTGATGGGCGGCTTAGCTACAGTTTGTCTGGAGAGGCAGGCTAGGGTACGCGCTTCATGCGCTTGGTGAGGTTCCACACTTCATGTTACCTGGGCTGAGAAAAGGGCACTTGTTCTTGGGGCCAGAAGAATGGAAGACACATCCTCAGGATTGGCCTCTGTTTCGGTGTCTTTAGAAATCAGCCCAGCCCACTTATCTCCATGTGCAGCCTGAAGCCCAGAGAGGCAGGGACTGGCCCAAGGTCACACCAAATCATGGCCAGAACCCAGACCTCAGCTCTACCTGGGTATTGCTGCTTCCCTCCTGTGTAGGGAAACTTGTACCAGTGACAGGATTGCTTGGTGGTGGTGGTGGTGGTGGGGGAGGTGTGTGATGGGGAGTGGCAGACTAAGCCACAATTTGGAGTAGTCATTCCGGAGTCCTGAGTTTATTTATTCTCAAGGCCCCGCCTCTATGGCCCAGAATTACCCCTTCATGCTCCAGTGCACCCTAGGCTCCAAGGAAGCCTGGCAAGCTGTCTTTACCCTGGTTTCCCTCCAGATCAGCTTCTAGAAATGCTCCGTGGCTGTGGTGGCAGCACCTTTTTTTTCCATGATGCAAGCAGTTTGCCCTTTTGGGCGGGGTTATCGGTGGCTGGCAGGTCCTGCACAGTGTGCCCGCCCACTGCCACCTGCTGATTCCAGGAAGGCCCAGCCTCCATGTCGCTGCCCACCACCTCCTCAGTCCAGGTCCAGGGGAGGGTCGGGCAGGTGGCAGGTACCCCCTGAGGCTTCCTCTCTGATTCCTCACACTCTTGGTTTGAGCAGGCTCTGATGGCAGAGCTGATTTGAACCTACCACTTACTTCAGTGTGGCTTGGGGCAAGTTAATCTGCCTCTTTGAGCCTCCAGCTCCTCATTTGTAAGATGGGGGTCCTAATAGAACCTCTCTGAATCTCATAGAACCACCTGGGAGAATTGTGGAGGTGATAACAACGGGCTGCAGTGCCCAGTGCCCTGCATACGCTGCGAGCTCCTTAAATGGTCGTGGATATGTGGATGTCACGCAGTGGCTGTGGGGAGGGTTGCAGGGCTATGGGAAGTGGTTTGGCCAAGCTGCATTCACAAATGTGAATGCATTCAGTTCCTCTTTCATGTGACGCTCAGAGCATTCGCAACAGGTATATTCACACTCCAGCTGTCCTCTGGCGTCAAAGTTGACCCAGGAATCGGCTTGGCTGTCATGGTGAGGCAGGGGGATCAGATGTGGCAGGCCAGCTCTCTGGGAACCTGATAATAGCATGTGATCTTGGGAACAAAAACAGACCTTCACTAGTGTTGATGGTAAAAAGCTTCAGAAAGGGCTTCAGCCACAGTTGGAGGGACTTAAGTTCAATTTTTGGAAGGCCTTAAAGGACAATGGGTACCTCTCACAGACCCTGAGGCATGGCCTTGCAAGGCAGGCTGGGGACAGGGACTAGCCTTCTTTTGTGTGACCTGCTGGGCTCATGTGTCACCCCTTTCCATGCAGTGGTGAAGTTCATGGATGTCTATCAGCGTAGCTACTGCCGTCCAATCGAGACCCTGGTGGACATCTTCCAGGAGTACCCCGATGAGATCGAGTACATCTTCAAGCCGTCCTGCGTGCCCCTGATGCGGTGTGGGGGCTGCTGCAATGATGAGGGCCTAGAGTGTGTGCCCACCGAGGAGTTCAACATCACCATGCAGGTGAGCCCCTCTGGAGAGTGGGGGCAGGGGGCATCAGGGGGTGTTAGACTTGGAACACCTGGTTCCTAGCCTTTTTCTAGGCAGTTCCTGTGAGAAAGGAGCCTGACTTGCCTTGCCCAGCTCCTACCCTGGAGTTGATCAGGGGGAGGCCTGGGGGTCTTGCTTTCTTTGGAGAAATGATGCCTGCATTTCCCAGACCAGGTTCCCAGCAAGCCCTGACCACCTCCTCCCTGACCCTAGTCCTGGGCTCAGGAGAGTCTGACCTCTGGGATAGGAGCCCCTGTCTTCCTCTCCTGGAGGGAGACAGCCCTTCCTCCCCGAGTCTCTGTTCTGGAAGTGGATGAGCCTGGTCTGTGGAGAGTTTAAAGAGCCAGTCTTTTTGGTGTTGCCTGGTGAAGGGGCACATCTCAGCCTCAACAGGGTGGCGGGGGGTGCTGAGACTCAGGCAGGGGTGGCTATTGGGTAGCTACTAGGGGTCAGGGTAAGGCCTAGAGGGGCTGAAAAGAGGGGTGGAATGGGGAGTGGCAAGAACCCAGGACCTGAATTCCCAGCCTGGCCAACCCTTGCAGCCATGTCTGCCCTCAAGAGGAGCAGGGGCTCCTTGAGGTCAGCAGGGTGGGGGAGTATGGGTGGGCCTGAGGCTCTGTCTGGCTAGAGCCCCTGGTCCTCCCTACCTCCACCACCCACCCCTGCTCTGGACCCCCTGGGTACTGAGTGGCATGAGCCATAGGGGTGTCCCATCTGGGTATGGCTGGCTGGGTCACTAACCACTGTGATCTGCTTCCTTTCCTTCCAGATTATGCGGATCAAACCTCACCAAAGCCAGCACATAGGAGAGATGAGCTTCCTACAGCACAACAAATGTGAATGCAGGTGAGGACTCATTCAGGCCGCAGGGCGCCTGCTCTGTGCTGGGGTCAAGCACAGTGCACGCATTAGCCCCTTTCCACCTTCTGACTATATAACCTAGGCCATTTTAATTTTGCTTCAAAGTGCCTCATTTTGCACATCTTTAAAATGGGCATAAGAATACTATATACCTCACAGCTTTGTTAGAAGGACTAAGTGAGCTATTCTATGTAAAGAGATTAAAACTGTTGGTTTATCATAAATGCTATGTCAAGTTTTGTATCATTGTCATTATTGTCGTCACCTCAACCCCTCTCTGTTTTGTTTTTTCTCTTTTTCTACCTTTTGCAGACCAAAGAAAGAAAAAGCAAGGCAAGAAAAGTAAGTGGTCATGACTTCAGTTCTTCTTTCTCTCCTTGGCCAGTTGACTTGGTTTGGGGCTCATGGCTTCCTCTGTCAGGGAGTTTGATGGCTTCACTGGTTCAGGGAGTTGGTCTCATGGGGACTTGTGGCAATGGTGGGATAGAGCCAATGCCAGGATCATGGCTATAAGATTAGTGACAAAGCCCAGCCTGGAGCTTCCTTTGGAAGAGATGATGAGTTCCAGGTCATTCCAGGCTGGCACTTGCAGTTTTGGTGTTTTAGGGGACAGTGTGGACACTGGTTCCCTGGCTTGCTCAAGCCTCCCATCACCCACAGTGGGGAGAGGGTGGGGTGACCGAGACCAGCTCTGTGTGTCAGAGGAAACGGCCTCTTCTGGTGGCTGCTGTGGCGGTGCAGTGGATCTGGGGCTACCTGGGCTGTTTCTGTGCTGCACGCCCTCTTGTAGGAGTGAGGCAGGCCTGAGACACAGCCCTCGGCTGGCCAGAAAGTGTTGAATATTGGTCATTCTCTGAGTCCCGGTTGCTTAGCATGTAGGTTAAGGGCCGGAGGGTAAGATCTGGGGGCAGTGAGCCTTCCAGACAAGGTGAGCAGCTGGCATGCTTGCAGGGAAGCAGAGACTGAGAGAGAGTACCTGTGCCCTCCCCCCCCACCCTGTCTGCCCCCCAGTGCTCTGGAGGCATTGAAGCCTCAACCTTGAGCCCTAACCCTTTGTCTCTTTCCTCAGTCCCCGACTTGCAGGATTGCTGTGGCTATGTGGCTACCAGGGCAGTGATTTGGGAGAGCAGCCTGAGAGAGAGAGAGAGACAGAGAGATTGTGTGAGAGAGAGAGGGAGGGACAGAGGGGAGGAGAGAGGGAGAGGGGTGTGCGTGTGTGTGTGTGTGTGTGTGTGTGTGTGTGCGCGTGTGTAGACCTTCCTCTTTCCAGTGCTTTCTCCTGAAAGGGGACAAATTTGCCCCCCTCCAGGTCCCTTCCCCTCTCATTGCTTCCCCCATGGCAGACTTTCTGAGGGGCATTCTCTTGGGCCTGGCAGGAGAGGAGAGTGCTGGTTCCCCTGAGGGGGACAGGCTTCAGCCTGCCCCCTTGCCCATTCCTCAAATGCCTGCTTTGCCCACAGGAAGAGTGGGGGGCTCGCCTGGGCTCGGAAGAGTCTCTGGAGATGGTGCAGCAGGCTTTGACAGGCTGGGGAGAGAGCTCCCTGCCAAGTGCTGCCTAGGCCCCTCCTCCCCACGCCTCCCTAACTCCCACCCCACCCATTGCCTGCCTGGGGCTCTGAGGACACCCAGCTCCGCCTCTCAGGTTATGGCTGGGCTGCCTGGCGCCTTTCATGTGCCGCCCCTGGTTTTATGCCAGCTGCCAGTGTGGCTGTTCCCCCACATTAGGATTCACAGAGGCAGGGCCCCTGTGGAAGTGAAGGCAGAGTGTCCTGCAACACAGTCTTATCCCCTTCCCCATTGAGTCAGGTCTCTGACCTCCCCAAATTCTCACTTCCCTTTGATAGCCCCCTGACCTTCAGGGTCAGATATGGTCAGGGTTGCTGGGCAAAGAGCCTGCCCTCAGGCCTTGGCCCCTGGTCTAGGACCAGTAGTCACTGTGAGCACGGAGGCCTTTGGGTCCTGTGCTCCCCACCCAGAGCCTTTCTGAGCACTGGCCACAGTGAGAAGGATTCATTGCATGTCTACACCCCCAGCCCATGTGTGCGTGCCGCGTGCGTGCTGTGTGCGAGCCGTGTGCGAGCCGTGTGCGAGCTCTCTCCTGGATCCTGCCTGCCTCCACCGTCACCTCGTTCCAGGGAGCATGTCCTGTACCCTACCCTCCTCACTGCTTCTTTGCCTCTCCCTGCCCCCTCGCTCTCTCTCTCTGTCTGTCTCTGTTTTTTATTTTCCAGAAAATCAATTCGAGGAAAGGGGAAGGGGCAAAAAAGAAAGCGCAAGAAATCCCGGTATAAATCCTGGAGCGTGTACGTGGTGCCCGCTGCTGTCTGGTTCCCTGGAGCCTCCCTGGCCCCCAGTCAGACTCCTGCCTGCAGGACCCTGTAACCCTGCCCTCCTCCCTCCCGCCCGCCCTGCTCATCCTCCCCTCCGGCCCCAGTGTCTCTCTCTCACTCTCACTCCACTAATTGGCACCAAAGGGTAGATTTGGTGGTGGTGTTGCTGGTCCGGGGTTGGACTTGGGTGGTTCAGGCTCAGAGTGGGCCTAAAGGATTGGGACGGGGGACTCTGGCTTGGCTGGGCACCGCCTTTCTCTCACCCACTGGGCACTGGTGGCAGGCCCATGTTGGCACTGGTGCCGGGCTCTGGTGCCTGCTCACCCAACTGGTTTCCACTGCTCTAGGCTTCTGCACTTGTCTGGGTAGCGGTGGGAGTGGGCAGATATGGCTTGAGGAAGGGGCTCCAATAATGTGAGGCAATTTGCAGTCAGTAGGAGGAGGTGGAGTGGGGTCAAGCACCACATGGCAGCTCCTCCTGGTGAACTCGGGTAGCGGGGGAGGGGGGTCCCTATTCCAACCCAACCCATGGCACCCACAGGAGCTTCCCTGTAGGCCAGCTTCTTTCTTTGGACTGGAGGCTGTGGTGGACCCTGCCCTGGCCTCCTACCACCAGTGGCCTGGCCTATGGACATTGTCTGTGGGCTTATCCTGCCGTCATGCCCTTTGGCCCAACTGTGCCGGAGGGCTGGGGTGTGAGCTCTGACACAGGGAGAAGGTGGCCCCTTGTGATCTCAGTGTCCCCCCCCCCGCCCCCATCCCCTTGGTCACTACAGCATTGAAGAGTCAAGGTGTACCCTTTGGGGGTGGTAGCTGTCAGAGCCCTGTGGCCTGAGACCTGCACTTGGCCCGTCATGGCAGCCCTCTCCTTGCACTCTCTGCCCGTCTGTGCCCGCCTCTTCCAGCGGGCCGGCTTCTAGCCAGTGCTGCCTCTTTCCGCCGCTCTCTCTGTCTTCTGCTATAGCACTTGGACTCTTCCAGGGCGTGGAAGGGTGTGGGGGCCAACGAGCTGGGTGGGGGTGCAGTCTTGGACATGTTAGGGGGTGTTGCATGGGTTTTTTTTCTCTCTCTCTGCTGACGCTCTAGCTTAGATGTCTTTCCTTTTGCCTTTTTGCAGTCCCTGTGGGCCTTGCTCAGAGCGGAGAAAGCATTTGTTTGTACAAGATCCGCAGACGTGTAAATGTTCCTGCAAAAACACAGACTCGCGTTGCAAGGCGAGGCAGCTTGAGTTAAACGAACGTACTTGCAGGTTGGTTCCCAGAGGGCGAGCGAGTCAGAGAGGGGCTTCACAAGGACATGGGGAGAGAGAGAGAGAGAGAGAGAGAGAGAGAAAGAGAGAACACCTGAGAGGGGCCAGCTGCTTGCTCGGCTTCTAGCTGCCTGCCTGGTGACTACTACCTTCTCTGTGGCAAGGCCCCTGCGGTGGGCAGCAGGCGCTGGCCCGGCCTGGCGGGGCCTGTTCAGAGGTTGCCCTGGCTGCCTGAATGGGTAGGTTGGTGTGACTTCATGTGGTGGTGTGGACGCAAGTGAGTGTTGTGTCCTGTGGTCCTGCTCGTGGTGGCTGTTGGTCCTGATGTTGTCATTACTGCCTTCGCTGCTAATACTGAGGGCCCTTCCCAAAGCGTGGGACGTTGCCGTCTACAAAGTGCAAACACTCTCCCGGGGGCCTCGCCACCAACCTCTGAAGTCTGCCCCGCTGGACTTCTTGTACCCTCAGTGTCTCTCCTTAGGGGTGGGGGGTGAGACCTCCTCAGACTCGGGTCCCAAGGGCATGGGCACTGGCTGTTGGTTTTGGGTGGAGTGAGTCTACACTGGTAGGAAACTCAGCATTTGAGAACTCAGACAGTCCCAGTGACAACCCCAAACACCCCAACAATTTCCCAAGGCCCATAGGATGGGTGGAGGGAGGGGTGGTGCCCACGCTCTTGACAGTAGACCGTGAACTCCTTAACAAAGGCCTGGTTTTACTTTACCTGTATGATCCCCAGGTGTCTGCGCTCCTGTCCCTTGTCCACAGTGGGAACCAAGCAACTGTCAAGTACATGACTGAGGACCTTGGTAGTTGATAGCAAACTTTTGATGCCTTGACTGGCACTTATGCCAATCTAGCCCATGCCCCAGACAGGGAGTTGTCCGTGCCACGGCGCGCTTCCTCCAGGGAGGATAGCCTAATATAGGGATTCCCCAGGCAGGGCCTCAGTGCCCCCAGTTAGTCCAGATGCTCCATTAACAAAGTTCTTAGAGTGTGGCTACCTCCCCTGGCCCAATGTTTTAGTGGCTGTGGGTGTCGAGGGGATGCTGAGCACCAGGCCCTGGGGTGTTGGTGGGGGTTTGGTCTGTCTTGGTCATCCATGAAGACAGGAAGTGTATTCTAGTGATGGGGTTGGGGGCTCTGCCTATCGCCAGGACTGGATGAAGGGCCTCTACCTCCACCCTGGTGAGGGGTGGTCTTGGGGAAGATAAAGGACTTGCTATTTTAGGGTGACCGTGGTGATTATACTGCAGAGACTGTGTGGGGTGGGGGGAATGCCTGAAATGACCTGAGCTAACTGAAGTTACTTCAATTTCCAGAGACCTGCCCCAACCCCTAGCCTGAATGTATTGGGAAATTTTAGCTTCCCATATTGGAGGCCTAGAATCCCTATTCCCAGGCTCTCGTAAGGGCAGGGCCTGCTCTCATTCCTCCTCACAGTGGGGAGTGGGGGAGGGTAAAAGACAATCAATCCAAGGCTGGGGGCATGACAGGAGACAGGTCATCTAGTCCCCTCTGTAGCGCAGCCACCAATGGCCTCCTCCCAGCCCTAAGTTAAGCAGCATATTGGAAAGGAAGGCAGCTGGGTACCCAGGGCCTGCTGCCACCAGTGAGCTCAAGAGAGATGAGCCGAGACTGGGAAGGGATTGCGTGGCAAAGGGGGATGTGCCCCTCACCTTCCTAGTTACTGTTCTTCGTCCCTGCACCCTCACTTCCCTGGGGCAGCTCCTTCCCTACAGCTTCCCTTCTCGGGTGCCTTGCTCAGGGTGCTCTTCCTACTCCCCCACATCACCCCCCTAGAGACCGAGCTGAAACTGCCCTTCCTCAGGGATCCTTTCCTGATGAACTCGGTCCACCTCTGGTCACCCCTCAGCACTTACATGTTAAGCAGGGACTGTTCTTTAGTCCACGTTCATCTGTTGCTTTGTAAACTGTCCCCATGTTCTTGTCTTGTCTCAAGGGGATTATGAACTCTAGAGGGCAGACTGGGGTCCCTGAGGGCAGGGGCTGGTCTCCCCTTGCACTGGGGCTCCCCGAGGCAGGACCACATTCATGCGGTCCTCTCCGCTGCTGCGGTACCAGATGCTGTGAAGACTCCCAGGAAGGGGCAGACCTCCCGCCTCCCCGCCAGGCCTCCTTATCTGGCTCTGACCCCGGGCTCTGTTTCCCATTCCCCGCAGATGTGACAAGCCCAGGCGGTGAGCCAGGCTGGAGGAAGGAGCCTCCCTCAGGGTTTCGGGAACCAGACCTCTCACCAGGAAAGACTGATAGCGAACGACCGATACAGAAAGCACGCCGCCGCCGCACTACCACCACACCATCACCATCGCCATTGCCAGAACAACCTTTAATCCAGAAACCTGAAATGAAGGAAGAGGAGACTGCGCAGAGCACTTTGGGTCCGGAGGGTGAGACTCCGGCAGAAGCATTCCCGGGCGGGTGACCAAGCATGGGCCCTCTTGGAATTGGATTGCCATTTTATTTTTCTTGCTGCTAAATCACCGAGCCCGGAAGATTAGAAAGTTTTATTTCTGGGATTCCTGTAGACACACCCACCCACATACATACGTTTATATATATATATATATATTATATATATAAAAATAAATATATATATTTTATATATATATAAAATATATATATTCTTTTTTTTTTAAATTAACATTGTAATGTTATTGGTGTCTTCACTGGATGTATTTGACTGCTGTGGACTGAGTTGGGAGGAGAATGTCCCTACCCAGATCCTGACAGGGAAGAGGACGGGAGGAGAGACTTCGGCGTGATCCTTTTATTTTAACCCCCTTAGGGAGAGGCCAGGGTCCCCTCCCCTGCCCAGGAAAGTGCAGGGCCAGGGCACGGGGGCACACCTGGCCCGCTTTTGGGAACACCGACAAACCCAGCCCTGGCCCTGAGCCTCTACTCTGAGGTCAAACGGACAGAAAGACAGATGAAAGATACAGGGAAGAGGATGTTGACTCTGACCAGGAATTTGGGGAGCTTCGGGACGTTGCTGTGCTTTGGGGATCCCTTCCACATGCTGCATAGGCGTTCTGCCCAGAGGGGCACAGCCTGGAAGACTGAGGAGCCGGGACAGCCTTTGCCTACTCACCTGCTTCCGTGATGCCCACGAGGCTTCTGACAGATGTCCCAGCGAGAGGAGAGAGACATTGGTGGAAGCGCCTCCGGGCCCTCCCTCACGCCCCTGCCTGGGAGTGCAGCCGGGAGGGCCTGATGTCCTCAGACCATTGAAACCACTAGTTCTGTCCCCAGGAGACTGGCTGTGTGTGTGTGAGTGGTTACCCCTCCTCTGTCCCCCACCCGACCCTTCCCGCGGCACCGAGAGGGCAGGATCCATGTGCCTGTCATGGAGGCAGAGAAAAGAGAAAGTGTTTTATATACGGTACTTATTTAATATCCCTTTTTAATTAGAAATTAAAACAGTTAATTTAATTAAAGAGTAGGGTTTTTTTCAGTATTCTTGGTTAATATTTAATTTCAACTATTTATAAGATGTATCTCTATCTTGCTCTCTCTTGTTCTCTCTTATTTGTACTGGTCTCTGTGTATGAAATTCATGTTTCCAATCTCTCCTGATCGGTGACAGTCACTAGCTTGTCCTGAACAGATATTTAATTTTGCTAACACTAAACTCTGCCCTCCCCTTACCCCTGACTCCCCACCACACATTCCTTTGATAAGGTTTCAATATACATCTACATACTATATATATATTTGGCAACTTGTGTTTGTATATATATATAATATATATATATATGTTTATGTATATATGTGATTCTGATAAAATAGACATTGCTATTCTTTTTTTTATATGTAAAAACAAAACAAGAAAAAATAGAGAATTCTACATACTAAATCTCTCTCCTTTTTTAATTTTAATATTTGTTATCATTTATTTATTGGTGCTACTGTTTATCCGTAATAATTGTGGGGGAAAAAGATTAACATCACATCTTTGTCTCTAGTGCAGTTTTTCGAGATATTCTGTAGTACATATTTATTTTTAAACAACGGCAAAGAAATACAGATATATCTTAAAAAAAGCATTTTGTATTAAAGAATTTAATTCTGATCTCAAAGCTCCTCCTGGTTTCTCCTTCTCCATTGAATCCTTGTTCCAGGCTTCCTCCTGCCCCCCACCCCTCCTCCCTTGGGGAGTGTGGCTAAGGTCCCTCCCTTCTGGCTGTGCTAGTCCTAGGGCAACTCATGTATCCTCTGCCATGGTTTAGAAAGGGTGGGGAGGGGGCGGTGGGGGCGGTGGTTCAGGAAATGGGGGAGGAGGCAATAGCTCCTGAGACAGGTGCTAAGGGCTCTGCAGTGACTAGTGCTGCCTCCAGGAATCACACGATCCAGGCTCTGTCCCTTGGTCAATGAAGGAGCTGTCCATGTGTCTGAGCTTGCTGCACAGGGGCAGGAGAGGGCTGGGTTTATAATTAAGTGACCTTGTTGCCAGCAATGGGCTGGGAGTAGGAGGTGGTTGCTCATGGGGCCTGTGGCCCTGGGATCTTATTTAGTTGTACATAGTGAGAGTTCCTTGAGCTTCTGATAGGCCCACAGCTCGGGTTGCCACTGAGGGGACTCCCTGCCCTGCACCCTGCATAGGCCCTTCTCTTCTGCAGTCCCAGAGCAGGTGGGAGCTGCCTAGGTCTCTTGACATTATTGGGAAGTGCATTCAAATGCATCACTTGTATCTTCTTTTGTCCCTTCAAACCATATTTATTGGGCCAGTTGTGTTATGCCAAGGGGTACTGATAGGAATGAACACAATTCTACCCCTTAAGGATCTGGTGAGAAGACACAGGACAATAAATCCATATATAGAAAAATAACATAAAAAGTACCTCCAGCTTTGCATCTGATCCAGCTTCAGGGTAGGGGCTGTATTGGGGGTGGCAGAGACTGGGAGTCTTCTCTAGGCTGCCCCTTAAAAAATGGGTAGGAGAAGATAGAACAGAGAGGAAATGGTGAAAGGGGTGACGCCAACATCCTAGGCAGAAAGGATAGTGTGAGCGAAGGTATGGAGGGGGACAAAGGCAGGAGCGGATGCTGGGTGGAAGCTGGAGAGAGGCAGGGTTAACTCCTGGGGAACCTGCAGCACTTTTCCGAGAGCCTACCATCTGGCTGGGATGAGCAGCAGTTAAAGGGTTTTAAACAGGTTTTAAACAGCATTGTGTGGGCCTTAGGCAGGGAGGCCCTGGGAGTTGTTGAGGAGAGGCCCTGAGGCCGGTGGTAGTGACTTCCCCCACTGACTAGGGATGGCTACACTATGGGGAACACTGGAGGCAAGGTCCTGCCCTCACAGAGCTTTATGTCTAGAAGGGCATTCATTTTCTAGTGCTTTCTGCTTGCCACCTCTTTCACTGGAGTCCCCACAACAGTCCTGTGAGGAAGGGGCTCTTGTCATCTTACATGAATATGTAGGAGCCTCTAAGCTGATCTCCTGCATTATACCCCCATACAACACCAGATAGAGCTTGTTAAAATGTGAGCCAACTCATGTCACCTTTTGGCTCAAAACCCTGCAGAGGCTGTTTTACTCACAGAAAAACCACAGGCAGGCGGGGAGGAAGTTGGATCAAAACAGGGGTGGGAAGAGCACAAGGGACTATGGTGATGGTACACGGGTGAATTAGTGGTGGGAATTCCACAAGGACTATACCAGAGATGATAAAGCATACATTGTATAAAAATGAAGAATGATGTAAAAAAAAAAAAGAAAAAAAAATATATATAAGCCACAGGAAAAAATCCTTACAATGGCCTTCAAAGGCCCTGCTCCTCCAGGGCCTCGCTCTACTTCCCTGATTCCATGACTCTGCCCACTGGCTTCTCTGTTCCTCAAACAGCCTGTCCCCTGGCCGGCCCCTCTTCCCCAGTCACGGCATGTGTGACTGTTACTTTCAAGTCTTTTTACCTCAGTGAGATCCCCTTGACCCCCCCATCCTGGGCCCCCATCCTGGATGCAGGGTCCTCCTTTTCACCATCTCTTCCCTGCAGCTCACACCACCTTCTCACGGTCTAGTAGAGCCATCTTGTGAGTTATATGTGTCATGTAAAATTTTCCAGTAGCCAGAGTTTAAAAGGTAAAGAGAAATAGGTGAAATGAGTTTGAATAGTGTATTTGTTACCCTGACATATCAAAAACAGGATTCTGGTATGCTAGAAACATTATTAAGGAGAGATTTTACTTTTTGTTGTTATTGTTCTAAATCTTTGAGTCTGATATGGGTGGTGTTCTTATCACACATCTCAGCTGATGTATTTCAAGGGCTCTGTATATACGTGGCTCTAAAATGCAACCCCCTTTTGTCTGTCTCTCTCCTCCGGCTAGAATGAAAACAAGGTGAGGGCAGAGATTTGTGTCTGTCTTATTCATGGCCTCTCCAGCTCCTAGAACAGTGCCTGAAACGTAGTAAGCACATGCTCAGTGGACATTTGTTAAATGACAGACACTGTTGAGGCTGAGTTTTGTACTCGATGTTTTCTTCCCCGGCAGGCAAAATAGTGCTGGCCTGGTGGGAGTGGTCAGTGGGGGGCTTCTGACAATGGGAACTTGACAAGCCCGGACAAGGAGACTGAAACTCAGAGCCAGCGGAAGGGATTAGGGACAGAGGCCTTTTCGTGGGTGTCAGGCACTGTCTCCTCTTTTCAGCTACTCTGGAGGTGGGGCTCGTTATTTCTGCTTGGCAGTTGGAGAAGCTGGGAAGCAGGGGTAAATATTTTGCCCAAATTTACGCACAGCCAGTAAATGGCCAAGCCAGAATTTAAACCATCTTTCCCGACTCCAATTCTAGTGCTCTTTCTACCACACCATGGTTGCCCCAGGCTAGGGCAGAACATCAACAAATAAAAACAAATCGTCTAGACTGAATACAAACAGGCAGAAAAAAGTGGGACAGGGGGAGGATGTGGCGGTGGCCAAATCCAGGGCTAAAATCCAGACTTCCCCAAGTGTGGTAAGGCAAGGCAAGGCAAGAGATGTCTCCAGGGGCTGGGGCTCGTCAGTGGAAGATCCGAAAGCTAAGCACGAAAGAGATTGCAACACGCAGCCTTGGGAGAAGCAACAGTCTTTAAATAGACCATGGAGAAAAGGAGGATAAAATGAACAGCCTGCATCCTCCAGTTGTATAAGAACTGCTCATGCCTCCTTCCCACCCCCAAATCTTCTCAAAAGTCCTTGTGAGGCTTGGGTTGAAGATCCAATCGAGGCCTGATGCTTCTGGTCTCTGTCATCAGACCTGCCATGATAGCTCAGTTCACCTCCTCTCTGTGGGGCTCACACTCCCACCTCTGACCTGGAACTGTCTCCCCTGAGATACACAGTGCACCTTCTCTACTGCTCTGCCCAGTCTGAGACCCTTATCCTTTTTCTTATCTGGGTTGCAGCCTTAAAAGCCTTTTGGGGTACTTGGTTCTCTAAGGAAGCTGCCAGATTACTCTCCTCCCTCCTATAAGGGGGGTAGGAGTTTGCCTACAGACCTGGGTGATTCTGGGTCATGTCATGTGTTGACATCATTGTCAGGGGTTGTGTGTAATCTGGCTGCCAACAGTTCTTCACACCCTGTAGCAACATATTGCTCCTCCATCCAGAAGAGTCACTTTTTCCTCCTTTGAATCTGAGCTGCCTTCTGACTTGCTTTAACAAAGAGAATGTAGCAGAAGAGATGTCCTGGGACTTTCAGGCCTGAAGCAGCATTTCTATTTTGCCCTCTGAGAAGGCAGCTGCCATGCTGTAAGGAAGTTCAACTCCCCTGCTGGGAGACACCACGTAGAGAGAGAAAAAGAGAGGCTCAGCAGCCCTCAGCTACTCCCGTCACCACAAGCTGAGGTACCAGACTGATGAGTGAGGTTGCTTTGGGTTCTCCAACCCCAGGTGAGTCACTGTAGCCAACAGCAAGAAAGTAAGGAGAAGCCATCCCTTGCCCAAACGTGCAGAGTTGTAAGCAAATATATGGGTGATGTTCAAAGCTAAGAAGTTTTGAGGTGTTTGGTACCCAGCAATCATAACTGAACCACCCAACTAAATGGTCACTTCCTTGGGGCTAGGACCTTCGTCTCTTTCCACCCAGAAGGTTTTACTGGAGTGCAGGGGCTGGAGGGAGGTTCAAGGAAGGAAAGGCACATTTATAAATAATCTGAGACCAGTCTCTGGCCTGATGGGAAGTCTAATGGGAAGACTCAGGGCAAGGGCTGATCCAAATATTCTCCAAATTTCTAGAGTGAGGAGAACAACTCAATTCTATGACTTCTTATCATGAAACAGAGGCCTCACATACCGCATGAGAGGGAGCAGCTGGAGGATGCGAAGACCTGCCACAGAGAGAGAGCACAAAGGGTGTGGAAGAAAAAACTGAGGGGTCCGTTCCTTCCCTTCTCCCTTGTCCCACCCATCCTCCGGCACACATTGAGCACCAGCCCTGGAATAGGAGGGCCCTTCCTGGTAACTGGGGGTAGCGTTAGCATAGCCTAGCCTAGAAACAGGGGGCCCACATGATGACCTTGGGAGGCCCCACCAGGTTGGCCTCAGAGTTATTGGGAGGGAGACATTCGGCTGCATCCACTGGCTATTACCTTTGGGACAGGGGATGGGGAAGGGCAGGGGAGAGTCGGTGAATATTTATAATCTGCCTGGAAAGGGAAAATGCAAAGCAGAGATGGGGCCAAGCTCAGCATCTGCAGAGGAATGGTGGACACGACTCGGAAGGGGGAAGAGCTCGAGCTGAGAGGACCAGTGATTCTAAGGAGAAGGGCGCCCGGGCATAGGTGTCCCTGGGACAAGGCTGGGAGGAGAGAGGTTGTGTTTGCCCTGGCGGGATTAGTCTGCTCATTCGGGGACATTTCAGTTGTGTCCTCAGGGCACTCCCAGTCTGAGGGGGTGACATGGCCCTTGCTTCCAGATGCTCCCCTTCCTCACAGAATTCCTAGTTTGAGGGAGGAAACAGAGCCCCTGCCTTCAGACATTTTTTTGTCGCTCAAGATGGAAACCCCTTCTTGGGAAGGCACCTCATGCCTTTATTTGGTTGGTAAGTGCTTGGAATCACCGGATGATGAGCCTTTTCAAGGCTTCTGACCTTCCCTC